TAAAAAAATATATATGCAATAGCAGCAGTTAGCAATATCATACGCTTTATACAACAGTCGCAGAAGCAGCTTCTTCTCTCCAAGAAGGGATAAGTAAGGTACTTATCAATACGAAGCTGTCAGTTGATGAGTTTCAAGTTTTTGAAGACAATTATCAAAATTTTCTTGAGTTATTTGACGAAAAAATGCAAAAAAACGAGCCTGTTGACAAAATTGGCAACAGACCAGAAAATTTTCACAGGATTTTCTGGTCTGTTGCCAATTTCGGATTGGCAACAGACCAGAAAAACAGGATTTTCAACAATATCTGACAATTAGAAGAGCTTAACAAACACTCCAGCAAACTCTTTCTTGATGAACAGATTTTGTTCATTGTTTCAGACGCTGGAGCACCAATAACTGAAGTAGTAGCCTTAGGTTTTATTAAAAGGTAAGTTACCCCAAAAACTCTTACTCCCACAACTACTTATGTAATCAGAGATAAATCCTTCACTTGCATTTTCCTTTTTTTTAAACCTTTTTTTTCAACTTCTTTATTTTTTAAGAATTCTTTTTTACTTTTTTCAAGCACATTTAGTAAGGCAGCATGTTTCTCTTTTTAATTTGCAGCGGATATTTGTCCAGTCCTTATCTTTTTTTCTGATTTTATCTCATTAACAATTTACTATTTTATTTTCAATTGGTTGTTCAAGATTTCCCAGCATTTGCTTAGGATTACAAAGCATTTGCTCATAAATAGTTCAGTATGGTTTTGTTACTTCAGCATGATTTATTGTAGCCAAAGTAACAGTGAGACGAGAAAGTCCTAATCCAAAACAGTGGTACACCTCTCTCGCTAACATACTTAAAGCTTGATGAAGGAAAAGTTTTTTATTGAGATCATGCTTAAGAGCAGCATTATTTCCAGCTGGAATTACCTGTTTAGTAAACCGAACATACATTTTCACTGGCACTTTTGAAATTGAGTTTCCCATCCCACACCTCATTCTTTCTGTATATTGTGAATAAAGGCTGGTTATCTTTTATGGTGTCATTTCTGATAACTCTTGATGTGTCAACTGCCGTCCAAGAAGCTTTGCACTGTTTCCTCCGAAAACGGGAGCGGCTAGACGTAATTGGTAAAGCTTGATCAAACTAACCTCTTCACAAGTTAACCCTTCCACTTCAACCGAATCATCGTAAAGCAATTCTTCCAAAACGTTTTTTTTTTTTCTTTTATTGTCTAATATCTTTTTCCTCCAAAAACATGATAACACAAATCCTAAAATAATGATTCCGAGCTAAAGCAAATTTATCTAAGTTAAAAACATTGCAGTTCGACTCTTTCTTGAGCGTAAACAATGATATGTATCAAATCAACACCATATCTTCTAAACTTTAGGTGATTTTTCATCAATTTAATTTCTTCATCTGAAATGAGTTGTCCATTCTGATGAATGACCTTCTAACAGAAGCATACCTATTGCACTTAACTAATCTTTAACAATTAATGGGACATCATGGCTACGATGAGTTAATATCCAGAAGCTGTGTTTTATAAGACAACCGCTTATTATTAAATTGTCAATTTTCAAGGTAATACAACTCAGTAATACAATCATCGATGAGAAAAATACATTCATCTCCTTCAATCACCTCACCTTATAACCTCATGAGCTCAACTATACCATTACCTTATAAGCTCAAAAGTACTTTGCAAACGACACTGATCAATTTAAAACTTCGGCACGACGTAAAACCGCTAACTATCTACCTCTGAATGGATTGTATTTAGCAAGCCCGATGTGTAATGATTTGCATTGACTGAGCCGCCAACCAAAACCCTATTATTTCAAGTAGTTCCTTAATTTTTACTTGAGCAGTCGCAAGAAAATCCTTGATATTTTTTTTATTCATATGCAGAATATATTCACATGCAGCTTCTTCACTAACAATTCTTGCAAAACGTTTTCGAAACAAATGTCGTTTTTTATTATAAAGAATTTTTACATAGTTACCGCGCTATTCTTAGTTTAAAATCTATTTTGTTAAAAAATCAGACAAACTTTTTCTTGCATATAATGGAACTGAAAAATCACATGGGACTTATTTAAACACTCCCAAACTTTACGATTGCATACACTCTCGATAAAGTTTTCCATGTATTTATTTGAAATTTTTTCTCTATTCATTTTTGCCGTTTTTTAACTTGATTTACCATGATCTGTGTACAGTTACTTCTTATCAAAAAATTTAATTGTGTCTATGCTTAGTAATCTTTTTTATCACATTTGATAATCCCTGATTTGAATATACTTTGACCATGCTGACAATTTTGATTAAAAACAACTATTGTTCTTTTTGTTAAAAGGTTTTAATTGGCTACTGGTAGGAAAGTTTTCTTTATGCGCTCAGTCATCTGTGAGGTAATAAGTACATCACCTGTATTCTTAGGATAAGTTATATTTTTCACATGATTACTTTTTCTTATCTTTTCTAAATATACTCCTTGCCACGCTTAAAACGTTGGCAATTTACATTGATTAAGGCATAGAGAAATAGCTTCATAATAACAACTTAAAAATTTCTTTTTGAATATATTAGAGAAAAACATACGTAAGTTATAGTGGAAGAAAAACTATATCTGAATTTTTGACCAAATGGATTTTAAACTAAGAATAGTTGCTCATTTATCATTATCACTCTTACGAGTTTAATTTGCTGGTTTCTATTTTTCGATGTCATTTTTACTAATAATATGTCCTATATAAGTCTCATGAAACAATAAAATTAGGTTTCCAGAAATTAAGGACTTGTTTATGACATTTTTAGCATAGTTTCATTTCAACTTTAAGGCTGGAAATCTGCCAGTCCTCTGTATTATTCCTTTTTAGTTCAAATTAAACACTAACAACTTCTTTTGTATTAAAAATCATTTTTGCATATCATACATATGTTTGACTGCCAGCAACTAAAAGAGTTACTATAAACACTGTAATTCTACAAAACTCATCATGTGTCCACAATCCCACAGCTGCAAGGCTAATCAAATTTCAGTTAAAAGCCATAGAGAAAATACTAGCTTCATCACACATACTGGATCAGTTAAAAGGTTTAGGGAGATAGGAGTGTTAGGAGCAGGAGTTCAACAAACTTGCAATTTGTATTATTCATAATTATTTCATTATCCATCAAACTGTTAAACATAAATTTGTTTTTAATTATGGTTTTATGATTTTCAACTTATATTATGATTTCAAAACTTATATAACTTAAGTAGAAAACCCTAACATGGAAATCCCCTAAGTAAAAAATTCAGACGTAAAAGGTTTTTCAGGTTTATAAAAAGTTTCATATTATTCCTTCCCTCCACGGAATGGCTGCCTATTAGTATTTAGCCATGAAGGAGAACGTTTTTCCGGTTTGCTGAAATAATTTTAACAAACCGGGAAAATTTTCCCCTCCATGGTTTTTTTGGCCTCCTTTATGTAGTTAAAAGACGTTTTGATGGGCATCAAAACGTCTTTTAACTACATAAAGGAGGACAAAAAACGTCATAAAGGAGGCCAAAGAGGGTCTCAAAGAGTTAAAAAAAGTTTTTATAAAGAAAAGGCGTAAAAATATTTATGTGGAAGACATAAACAAAAAATGTCTTTGGAGCTTATTGGGGAGGGTCTCAGGGGCTAGTGCAAAACTCCATTTTAATATCTACTACATTGATGTTAAACTTTTAACTCTTCTAACTTAATACTTGAAATTTTCAAAAAAATGTCAATATTGGGAAAGTTGATTCCTCAAAAGAAGGGATACTGAATCCTAGAATTAAGTGTCTCATGTTCAGGAAGTTCAGGAATGTTCATGGTCAGGAAGGAGTTGTACTTTATTATATAACCATGTGTATAGTATTTCGACCATTTGACCTCAGTTATTAAAATATTTGAAAAAATTTAAACATTTAAAAAAAAAAAGCGGAAAAAAATAGTAAACTTAACTACAAACTTTATTCCTCTTGAAAAGGATGAAACTTGTTGTAGACTGTTTTAATTTTCCAAAAGTAGAGGCCATCAGCCAGGGAGCTCAGGCTGACATACAAAAGCGGCTTGAGCCGTCTGTCAGCGCAACAGTCAGGACTGCAAGCATTATAAAATTTAAATATAAATTTTATGCTAATTTTTTTTGAACAAATATCTTTTTTGGCTAAATTTATTTCTACAATTTATTTTTTTATGTAATCAAATAGGTACTTATGCTTCTATCACTGCTTGATTTACTTAATTTATTTTATTAAGTGGGATACTTTATTTTTATTTATTATGCGAATCGAATTCTCTAACGCCAAGAAGGTCACTACAGTCAAGGAGGCTATTTTAATTGTAGTTACAACCCTCTCTCAACTCTATAACTCAAAAACACTAACTTTATTAATCAAGGCCACTGTGAGGAGAAACAATATGTAGGATCAAGTATCCCACTTTTAAAGACCAAGTGTCCTAATATAAACATGGATACTCGAGCCTTGCGAGTAACCAAAAAAAACTGATCTAGTTTATTAGTATTTGCATTATCTACATAAAAACGTTTTTGCATGAACAGCCTGTGAAAAGAGATAGACCACATTACGAAACTGTTTAATGAAAACAAGGAAACAGTTATCATGGTCTAAAAAATCTTCATCTTTTCCATAAAAGCCTAATACTTCGCTAAAATCTAAAAAAAAAAAGCATCAGAATGGATTTTTGTTATGTTTTATTTATTTTAGTATTTTTTACTTAAACTTCTATAGTTTTTGAACTGTTTTACATTATTAAATAGTTTGGTAATGATAAAAAATTAGTAATTAGTTATTTTTATTGTTTAAATTCAACATGCTTAATGTTGATGTTTATCAATTAACATAAACTTATTTTTATGCTTTGATATAAATTTGATATAAATATAAATTTTATATAGTTATATTTTTGATATAAATATAAATTTTGATATAAAAAAAAATAAATGATATAATTGTCAATGTAATTTAGATGAATTTTGTTTGGCAAATGTTGAGCTTGTTCCCAAAGGTAGGTATAATATTTAGGTTTTATAAAACTAAAATATTATATTGATGTAAGTGTGAATTATGTTATCCATTTGTTTAACCAAAAAATTAAGAAAATTACAAAGCTATTTAAAATTTTACAAAAGTAGGTTAGGTGTGACTCGTATAGTTAAAAACTAGTCATTGGACACCATAATAAAGTAAATGTGACACCATAATAAAGTAAACAAATATAGCAAAAAAAAAAAATAATATTACTAGCGACCAAAATAAAATAAAACAAGATAAAATAAAGATCAAAAATATTTAAAAAAGGAAGACAAAGAAGACAAAAAAGGGAAAAAGTGAACAAACTTACATGAGAGAAAACGAATGAATGATATAACAAAACATTTGACAATCAGAAGGATGATTTAAATATTATGATGAGACAAAAATAAAAAATATTTATTAAAAATATAAATGATTATCAAAAACATCTAAATTTTTTTTTTAAATACTTTTGTTTCATATTTTATAAGAATTGTGACATAATTTCTACTTAGTTTTTGCTTTTGTTATTAAATTATGAATAAAAATTTGTTTCTATAAGCTTCACCTTTTGATGTTATAATAACAACTGCAATGTACTGGAATTGAAAACAAAATAGAATTATCTTTTAAAGATAAAAAACTAATTAAATAATAGGTCTTTTTTTTTTGTATTTTGTTTTTTAATTATATAATATTCATGTTACAAGAATGTATATAGTTGAATCATATATAATCACTATGATTGGTTGAAATTTTGACAATTTTAAATTGAGTTTTCTCATAGACAACTTAACCAATTGTAATTATTTTCTTTTTATAATGATGCCTAATTAGTTTTTATTTCAATAAAAACAAATGAACCTTAACTTTACGATGTGCAAGTAATTTAATGTAAAATACCCTCCATCATTTCCACAATATTACTTTGCGTCACTTTTTTTGTAGCATTAATCCATAAATCATGGAAATTTTAAACACTATCTTCACATTTGCCTTTTTTCATCGATATTCCCTTTACAATTGCCTAGTACAATTGCCCAGCAGCTCAGGAGAGTTTAGTGGAATAGCACCTATTGGAACAAAATTGACTCTTTTTTTCTTATACCTCTGATTTACTTTTTTAGAAAAGGAATAGATTCCAGATCTGACCAAAATAAGGTTGATTATTTGTGCTTTTTAATAAGAGGAAGAAGTTGTTTATTTTTGCTTTTTAACTAGAGGAACAAGTCATTTTTTAAAGCATTCCCTGTCAGAAGCTTTATAACATTTCAACTGATAATAGTATTGAATATCTGGAAGCATCAAGTGATCTTTTTTACAGTATATTTCCTCTTCATCTAAAATGCATAATTTTTTTTAACTAATTTAAGCAAATTTATATCTCCATCTAAATGTCTTGATTTCTCCATCAAGCAATCTTTTTGGTACTTTTTTTTTTCTTTTAATGTACTTTTAGATTTTTTTTTTAAATACTTTTTAAACGAAAGCTTTATTGCATTTAAACTTTGTAGCTAAATCTTGTTATGGCTGAGTCGGATCTTAATTAATTAAGTCAAGTATTGATTTTGCCTTCTTTATGGAAATAAATTTCGATTTTCCACTTCTTCTCAATTCTATTTTACAGTTTTGTTTTCCTTATAACATTTCATAAAAATTTCTACAGTTGATTTTGGAACTTTACATGCTTCCAAATCATGAAATATGGGAACGATTGATTTTCTATGTAAAATATCAAAATTTGTTTTCGATTTTCTGACTCTTTACTCAACATTGCAAAAACTAATGAGGAGTAAATAAAACTACACTCACACACAAGAAAACTAATTATGTTAGGATTGTTATTAAAAAAATCATAACAATTGTTTTTTAAGAAAACTCAATTTAAAATCGTCCATATATCAACCGATCATGTTGATAGTTCAACTTTTTACTGCCAAATAACAGTTGTTAACAACAATTAAGTTACCCTATAACATTTTAAATTTACGTAACGTATTATAACGTAAACGTTTTTTTTACGTAACCAAGACGTAACATTTTACGTAACAATACGTAACACTGTTACGTAACGTTACGTAACAAATGTCCGTTCTTTTCACGAAACCGAGAAGTAACACGTTACGTAACGATACGTAACAATTTGAACTAGTGAGACGTAACCTTTTGATTACGAAACCGAGACTTTACACTTAGATAATGATACGTAGAATATGACTTTGTGAAACGTAACATTTTGACCTATGGTGTCCTTTTAATTTAATGTTTTTGTTTCTTTATTATATACGCAACGTTACGTTACAGAGTTTCAATACGTAACACTGTAACGTAATGTTACGTGCAAAATGTCTGTTATTTTTATATAACGGAAACGTAAAATTTTACGCAACGATCAAGCATCTTCGTCTTCTCCTATCCTCTCGGAAGTTCGGTTTGACCAGGTAGAAATGATAGTTTTCGTTTCGTGCTGTTTTTACAAAAACAAAATAATGTTATATCATTTTCTTTATCGTATTTTCACGAAACAAGTAAAGCTTGTTTCGTTTCGTACCGCATTTTTACGAAACAACCAAACTTTGTTTTGTTTCGTATCGGTTTCTACAAAACAAGAAATTATTGTTTCGATTTGTATCGTGTTTTTCACGAAACAAAAAATTTCTGTTTCGTTTTGAACCGTTTTTTGCAAAATTGTATAAAATTTGTTTCGTTTTGTACCGGTTTTATCGGAATAATATTTTTTTATCGTTTCGTCTCATTTCGTCTTTTATAGATTTGAGACGCTGATGCTTAGTAATAATATGTAACATTTTGACCTATGGTATCTTTCTAATTTAATGTTTTTTTTTTTATTATATATATATATATATATGATATATATATATATATATATATATATATATATATATATATATATATATATATATATATATATATATATATATATATATATATATATATATATATATATATATATATATATATATATATATTTCAACAATAAGATTTTCTAATAAAAGCCAAAAACCACTGGCCTGCATTTTTTTCAAATCAAAAAAAATTTTTTGCATGCAATGCTCCGATTCCAGTTGTTGAAATTTTTTGAGTACAACTCCGACTCCGACTCCGACTCCAACACTGACTCCGACTCCGACTCCAACTCCAAAGCAAAATATTTAAAAAATTCTTTGAATTCTTTAAAAAATATTATACGACAAGTTAAAAAAAAGTTTTTTGAAAAATTTATGAATCATTCTTTGAGATTTAATATAAATATAAGGTTAATTGAATGTTTTATACCTGCACGTGCAATACCGAGAAGTTTTATTGTTAGAGTCGGAGTCGCGATTTTGTTTAGCAACTCCGACTCCTACTCCACTGCCAGTTTTTGTTTCATTCCATACACTGAGTATGAAAAACATACTTTTTTGGCCATTAGCTGTATTAAGATTGCCGCTGTAAGTTGTTTCTCATCTCCTCCAACCGAAGTAAGAAAGTGCATCTAAAATAAGAAAACAAATGTAATATAATTGGTTGTAAAAAAGTATAATGGTTCATCATGTGTATATATTAGACGGTTTTCCATAATACTCTTATTAAAATATGACATTATAGAAGAGTAAAACCAATTGTTTATAAATAGATTATGACATCTGTAGCGGTGAATACACCCTACAGATGTCATAGATGTCTGAGATTAGAAGTCATTGCTACACAAAATACATTGCTAACTGGGCATAAATGATAAAAATCACAATAAAATGTAATAAGCATTTATATAAAACATTCTGATATTCAACATAATTATAGTCAATTACGTATCATATTGTATCATTTGTTTGTATGTTACATATAAATGTATCATATATTTTAAAAATTAGAAACTTTAATAGTACATGGTACTGTTTCCAAAAACTATTAACTAATATCAATTTACTGATATATACTATTGATTCATAAGGTGTCTTTGTTCCATAATTTTTCTTCTAGGTTTAAAAGATCTTTTTTCCTCTATAACCGGCAAATAAATTCAATAAATCGAAAGAGATAGTTAAGCAAAGCTCTGATGGAATCACTTAACCCTAAAACACTAAAGATTTCTTCAATCTTTGAGAAACTGAGAGAAAATCTCATCAGTGTCACTTTTTTTGTGTCTTGCATCCTTTTAAGCTGGAGGCACAGATAATTCCGTTCTAAGGCAGGCTCATAACTGTCAAAAAAAAGTATAAAGAAGAAATGAAACTATAATAAACAATCAACATTTACTATATTTGAGTCAAACATAGCTGTTTAGATAAAGACAATACTGTAAATAAAACAAAAACAATATTGAAATAAGACAATTACCAAAAAATTCTTATTTTCAGCTGCTTTCAGTTACTTTTAAAAGCTTGGCTTTACGTATGGCAGCCTAAAGGCAAGATGCTTGCAAGCAATTTGGCCAATACACCAAACTTTCATTGATACGCCATGAAAAACAGATTACATTCATGGCACACATATTGTTTTTTCATTGAAAAATTCAGCCAGAGCAAATTTTGTAAACTTTATTACCACCAGTTTAACGGTACATCAGCTAAAAAATAATCACAAATAAATTTATTATGTAAAAAACTTCAGATTAACTTTCTTTTTTGAGATTTTTATTACAAGTAGATTTTAATTATTGGTTATTAAAAAAAAGTGAATTTTAAAGTTTGCACGGTTCGGAAAGGTTTCTATGATAATATTTTCTTATTTAAATATGACATTAAGGAAGATAAACAACTTGAGGCTCTAAGTAAATATTTACCCCAAGATTACGAGATTCAAATTAGCATGAGATTAAGATTTCATGCTCAATTGAATGAGTTAGCCAGGCATAGAATATTTTTCTCAGTTATGGAACACTGAAGAAAAGTGTTTTTAATATACAACACTAAAAAAATAAACATAAAACTTATTCAGTGTTAAATTAATTTTAATTATTAGGTGTTTAATTAGAAGAGTTTTGAT